CAGAGGAAACAGAAAAAGGAAGACTAACTGTTAACCCCCCCCCACCAGACTCACTCACACCGACACATGCATTCACACTGCAGCTATTGGACACACACTGGCCACTTTATTAGAAACCCCTACCTCGTTCTTTCACTCACTGGCCACTTTATTAGAAACACCTACCTCGTATGTTCACAAGCTGACCACTTCATCAGAAATATCTACCTTGTGCTTCCACTTGCTGGCCACTTTGTTAGAAACACCTACCTTGTATTCCACTTACTGACCACTTTATTAGAAACACTTACCTTGTATTCCACTCACTGGCCACTTTATTGAAAACACCTACCCTGTACTTCTACACACTGGCCACTTTATTAGAAACACCTACCCTGCACTTCCACTCACTGTCCAGTTTGTTAGAATCACCTACCTCATACGTTCACTCGCTGGCCTCTTTATTAGAAACACCTACCCTGTACCTACACTCACTGGCCGCTTTATCAGAAACACCGACCCTGTACTTCCACTCACTGGCCACTTTATCAGAACCACGTACACTGCACTTCCACTCACTGGCCACTTTAATAGAAACACCTACCCTGCACTTCCACTCACTGGCCACTTTAATAGAAACACCTACCCTGTACTTCAACTCACTGGCCACTTTATTAGAAACACCTACGCTGTACCTCCACTCACTGGCCACTTTATTAGAAACACCTACCCTGTACCTCCACTCACTGTTCACTTTATCAGAAACACTGACCCTGTACTTCCACTCACTGGCCACTTTATTAGAAACACCTACCCTGTAGCTCCACTCACTGTTCACTTTATCAGAAACACTGACCCTGTACTTCCACTCCCTGGCCACTTTATGAGAAACACCTACTCTGTACTTCCACTCACTGGCCACTTTATTAGAAACACCTACCCTGTACCTCCACTCACTGGCCACTTTATTAGAAACACCTACCCTGTACCTCCACTCACTGACCACTTTATTAGAAACACCTAACCTGTATCTCCACTCACAGGCCACTTTATTAGAAACATCTACCCTGTGCTTCCACTCCTTTCCACTTCTCTATCCCCCTCTCTGTGTCTGTATGTCCTTTTCTCTTTTCCCTTTCTCTCTCTCTCACTCTGTTTCTTTCTCACTCACTCATTTTCTCTGTCTCTCCTCTCTCTCAAACTTATTGTCACTCTTTTTTATCTCTGAGATTTGTCTGTATCTCCCTCACTGACACTCTTTTTTCTCTTTCTGTTTGTATGTCTCTCTCTCTCTCTCTCTCTCTCCCTCTTTAACTCTCCCTCCCACTCATTGTTTTTCTCTTTCTGTCTGTTAGTGGCTCTCTCTCATTCTCTTGTGTGTGAAGCTGGTGGTGGAAGTTCACTGTTGAGGGCTGTGAATGTGTGCGTGTGTGTGTGTGCGTGTGTGTGTGTGTGTGTGTGTGTGTGTTTGTATATGTGAGATAAGGGTCTGCAGAGGGTCTCTGTGTGTCGATTTTTCTCCACTACTGTTATCTTCCTTCACAGCTGCATTAAAGCTTCGCCGCAGCTGCTGCCAGCATTCACCTTCCAACTCCATCACACAGCAAACTACAACTCCCATAATCCCCTACTCTCCCAACACCTAGCTGGCAGGTAGAACAGCCAAATGAGTCAATCGTTGTAATTCACTTTAAAGGACTATGAGTTCTCAACCTAAAAGTTACTCAAAGTTCAGAAACTGTTTTGAGTCTGACTTGCTGCTGACACTTTTATCATCATTCAGATCTTTTAAAGCTTTATTAGCAGACAATTCTTTATTTTTATAAATGCATATTTCTTTCAGCAGTCAACAAGTAGGCCACAGACATTTGCTTTCATCTGTAATGATTATTTACATTATGCACATTACTGCAATAGGGAAAATGTGAAGAAGATATCAAAATAAATCAGGCTTGCTTGCTAGGTAACATCAGCAATGCATTTGTCAAGGAGGCTCAGCTAGCTAACAAAACACAAAGACCACATTTGTTTGCATCTGGTTGGGTTCTGTAGATTAATAGAATTGGGAAAATGTAAGAAAGACACCAAAATAAATAAGCCAAGCAAGTATTAGTGATATGTTTAACCTAACAGGCTCGGCTAGCCAGGCCTCCATTTTTCTGCCCTGCTGAAGAAAACTTAGACCAGCTAAATCAGCACCAGATCAGCATAAACCAGACCAAACCAGCTTAGACCAGCATGGAATCACCACCAAAACCAGCACATGTTGTGTTTTGTATGCTGGCACGCCGGTCAACAAGCATGACCATGCTTGGTGACCCACTAAACCAGCACCAGATTAGCATAAATCAGACCAAACCAGCTTAGACCAGCATGGAATCACCATCAAAACCAGCACATGATGTGTTTTGGATGCTGGCATGCTGGTCAACGAGCATGACCATGCTTGGTGACCCACTAAACCAGCACCAGACCAGCATAAACCAGAATAAACCATCTTACACCAGCATGTAATCATCACTAAAACAAGTTTTGGGTGCTGGGCTGTGGGTCAACAAGCATGACCATGCTTGATGACCAACTAAACCAGCACCAGATTAACATAAACCAGAATAAACCATCTTAGACCAGCATAGAATCACTACCAAAACCAGCATATGTTGTGTTTTGGATGCTGGCATGCTGGTCCAGAAGCAGGATCGTGCTTGGTGACCAACTAAACCAGCACCAGACCAGCATAAACCAGATCAAACCAGCTTAGACCAGCATGGAATCACCACTAAAACCAGCATATGTTGTGTATTGGATGCTGGCATGCCGGTCAACATGCATGACCGTGCTTGGTGACCAACTAAACCAGCACCAGATCAGCCTAGACCAGTATGGAATTCATTGGAATTCGAAGCTGGTCTAAGCTAGTTTATTCTGGTTTAATCTGTTTTAGTGAGTCACCCAACATGGTCTTGCTGGTTGACCAGCATACCAGCATCCAAAACACAACACATACTGGCTTTGCTGGTTTTTCTAGCAGGGTTACTACAAAGCACTGTGACATCATCCATGCTTCATCCACAAATGCATAAAAACAAACTAGACAAAATAAATGCATGTAAACAAACAACACAAAATGAAGACAAACAAGGGCTGAAATCTGGCAACCCTAGCATGAACAGGTCAGGTTTGTGAAACAGGATCTGACGAGCACGTGAAGGTAGATAAAGCAGGTGTGTTTACAAGGCCCTGTCCATCCTCCTCCATCCAGCATTCCCCTGGTACTGGAGGAAGGTATGTGGGGGTTAGGCAGGTTCAACACTTTTGCCTTTGACTCTTTATCACACTGCTACAGAGGCTGCTTATGACTAAGCCTAATTATACTGCGCTTATCAGAGACACATGCACAAAGCTCATTACTGCCAAGGACCACACACAGCCGCAGGTAATGCAGAACGCTGCACACAGGAGAAAAAACCCACAGTAAAACCCTTTCAGCTCTTTTGGACTCATTCAGATCCCGTAAAGTGTGGCTTTAATGTGTGAGTGAAGCACAGAGTGCTTATCCAGGCCTGCAGTGCTGACGCTACTGTTAGATCCTGGGTTTTAGGCTTAAGGCTCCGTTTGGAGTCAATTACATGATGATCATAGACGGAAACAGTAGCACTCAGTGTGTGAATTACACTGTTTTTCAAAAAATTTCTGCATAGTTCAATGGTTGAGATGTAAACAAAGTCATTCAGAGTGGTTTGATGTGAAATGGTTTGTTGTAGAGAAACTCGGATTTCTTTACAATGATAGTAACCAGAGGCTGTGATGTCTACAAAGCAAATATAGCCATTTTATTTCCTATACCAAACCACCAGTGAACCTACGCAACCTTCTGAGTTTTTAATATGTAATGCTAAAGGTGATAAATCTGAAAAATAAGTTTTCTTTGGGGGGCTATTTTGCCTTACAGTACCATGCATGCACCTCTCCACCATGAATAGATTTAAATATATATATTTTAAGCAAAACCTTTATCTACAAACTATCATAAATCAAGGTCTTAAACATCAGGCAGTGAATTCATGACCATTTCATGGTCATAACTTTCCGTGAGGGAGCTTTTAGAGGCCAGACGTCTGGGTCCCACTGTGATCACCACCACTGTGAACAATTCTGACTCAGTAAGTTTCTCTAGAATGGAGAATTTCACACCAAACCACTCAGAATGACTTTGTTTACATCTTTACCATTTAATTATGCAGGAATTTGTGGTCTCACTTTTTTTGGTCCACTATTGTCCCCTATAGATTATCTACAGATGTTCAAATTACTAACAAACTAGTTGCTGAAACTCAGTTGATTGTAAACAATGGTGGGGTTAGGTTTAGGATTTGGACCAGGGTTAGGATTTGGACCAGGGTGAGGGCTGGGTTTAGGTTTTGGGTTTAGATTAAGGTTAGAGTTAGGATTAGAGCCAGGTTTAGAGTTAAATGTTTTTTTTTTATATTTAGTCAATATTTAGTCAAATTTAGTCGATATTTAGTTGAATGCAACTTGAAAATAAAAATCAAGTATCCTTAAAGCATCTAAAATGGACTATCCAAATAAAGTGTTACCCAATTTTTTAAATAAAATTGCAAAACTCCTCTTTAAAGGGGAGTTTGGCAAAAAAAGCTAAGTAGCTAGCACGTAGCTTATACCCCACCAATTAGCATTGTTCAAACTGCATGCCTAAATCATATAGTCATCATACATGCCTAAATATACTGTTCTACATATACACATTTTTGCACTTTTGCCCATTTTAGTAGACAACAGTGTGTCAAACAGTGCCAGAAACCACATAAGCTAGTTTACTCCACAACTGGACACGGTTTGAAGTGAGCATTTGATGGTTTAGGCCTGCAGTTTGCATGATGCTAACAATGCTATAAGCTATTTTAGCCTCCAGGCTAAAGTGAACTACTAAAGCATTGTCTTGGCTGATTGGCTACATTTGGGCAAAATGCATCGACCACCAGAGTTGAACCGCCACTCACCTGTATGTCGTCTCCTGTGCCCATGGGTTGGCGGTGCTAGCCTTTGCGTGTGGCGTCTCTGGCTGGTCAGCATCACTGTGGCAACTCTCGGAGCCATCAGGCCGCTGGAAGATGTAGAGGATGAAGAAGAGGAAGAGGAGAGTCTCCCAGATCTTCTGTGTCTCTCTCTGTGAAGTTCTGTGGTCATCTTGTACATCCCCTCGCACACCTGGATGAAGTATATTCCCTCACACACTGCAAACACAAAACGATCACTGCCCAGGGGTTGTCCAATCAAGACCTACGAGCCCTGTCCAATCAGAGCCTAGGATTCCTGTCCAAACAATGCTCAGGGGTTTACCAATCAGAGCCCACAGGTCCTGTCCAATGACGAACCTACAAACTGTGTCCATTTAGAGCGTAGTGATCCTGCCTGATCACAGCCTGGGGTCCAATCCCATCAGAGCCCAGGGATCCCATCCAATCAGAGACTAGGGGTTCTGTCCAATCAGACCCTGGGACCTCATCCAGTCAGAGCCCAAGGCTCTCAGAGATCTCATTAAATCAGAGACGAGGAGCTTTGTCCAATCATGACCCAGAGATCCTGTCCAATTAAAGTCCAAACATTTCCAATTAGAGCCAAAGTTCCTGCTTAATAAGAATCCTGGGATCCTTTCTAGTCAAAGGTCAAGAGTCCTGTCCAATCAGAATGCAGCAATCCTGTCCAATCAAAGTCCAAATGTCCTGTCCATTCAGAGCCTAGAGTCCTACTTAGTAAGAATCCTGGGATCTTGTCCTATCTAAGCCCAAGATTCCTGTCCAATCGACACACAGGACACTGTTCAATCAGACCCCTGGGATTCCTCTGATATGAGGCCACTTGAATGAGCCAGAGGTTCAGTCAGAAGTTCTTTACTAAGCAGGAGGTCAGAAATCTCCCTTTCAGTGGTCAGATCCAGCACTGGACTTTGGAAAACTCACACATCGGTACACAAACAGGCACAGAAGACTCACATGTGATGACTTTTATCTGAGAAGATTTGTTTCGTGTCGGTAATAAAACACTTTCTTACACTTTTACTCTGTTTGTAAAAACTCACCACAAACTTCCTCCTGTAACTGTCAGCGTCAGCTGGAGTCCAGTAGGAACGTAAAAATGGCCGCGCACTTCTTCAGATGTGTGACTCTCCTTACAAACTGTGGTGATCTGTTAGGCGGCGTGGAGCTACAAAACATGCTCCTCCTTCAAACGGTTAACACCCTCTCTCCCTCTCTCTCTCTCTCTCTCTCTCTCTCACTCGCTCTCTCTCTCTCTCTCTCTCTCTCTCTCTCTCTCTCTCTCACTCTCTCTCTCTCTCTCTCTCCCCCTCTCTCCATCTCTCTCTCTCTCTCTCTCTCTCTCTCTCTCTCTCTCTGATAGTGGCAGAGGACACTGATAGGGGGGCAAAGAGGACTGTGTGCCGTGTTTGTGTGTGCGTGTTTGAAGTTCAATTAACTAAACATTCATGTGAGTTATAATTATACCCTCTTAACAGTAAAAATATATATATATATATTTATATATATATATATGTGTGTACTGTTGTATGTACTGTATGTACTGATGTACTGTTAATAGGGGTTAATTAAAACTTACACGTAAATATTTAGTTCACTGAACATGCAAACAAACACACACACACACATATATATCGCTACTGTCAGAACAAAAGTTTCAGTTTTTGACATAATTTGAAAATACCTGTTGGTCTTTACATTAAATTCTGGTTCCATTGACTTACATTAAAAATAAAGTAGGTTTTTCCTTCTCCTGTAAAGTTACCAGTTTGGAGATACAAGGTTTTCTTCGACAACAGCGATATATACACATATATGTACGTGTGTGTGTGTGTGTGTGTGTATGTGTGTGTGTGTGTGTGTGTGTATATTCCTCTGTAACGGGTTTGTCACTGCCAAACACTCACAGATGGTGGCCAGCAGAGTGGATGTGAGAGTAGCGTGTGCGCATATGTACACACACACACACACACACACACACACATATATATATATATATACTACATATATATATATATACATATATATATATATATATATATATATATATATATATAAATAACATTTGGGTGGTGGATCATTCTCAGCACTTCTGTAACACTGATGTGGTGGTGGCGTGTTAGTGTGTGTTGCACTGGTACGAGTGGATCAGACAGTGCAGCTGGAGTGCAGCTGGAGTTTTTAAACACTGTGTCCACTCACTGTCCGCTGTCTATTAAACAGAGAGAATGTGTGAGAAAGAGAAAGAGAGAGAGAGAGAGAGAGAGAGAGAGAGAGAGAGAGAGGGAGAGGCCAGACGAGTATATGTCTGGGTTGAGTGCTGCCATATGTGCTCCTGATGGCTGGGTTATGGTGGCTGAAAGGCTGCCACCACAGCGCTGGTGCTGAGCAGAAAAAAGGGGCTGCAGCTGGGACCCTCAGTGGCCCTCTGGCCATCACGCACACACAAACACACATACACACACAAGTGGAGGACAGAAGTGAAAGGGGATGTGCACACACAGATGCACCGTCTGTCACTGCCAAACACTCACAGATGGTGGCCAGCAGAGTGGATGTGAGAGTAGCGTGTGTGTGTCTGTGTGGGAGGTTGTCCATGTGTTACAGGTGGGACTTTTGTAAGAGAGACCCAACTGTAAAACCGCAAAATATTTCAGGGACTTTCCTCTCTGTGTCGAAACAGCCCTCCAGCTCTCAACGTAATTTACGGTCAGAATCACCAAGTACGCTTACGTATACGCTTACAGCACCGTGCAGAGCCCAGACAGCACTCCTCATTTGTTTAATTTACAGTCAAAACGGCCTTTACGTACAAGTTATTTATTCTCAGGTGGTATTTCTGAGAAGATTTGATATAAAATAATTCAGCATAAGAAAGTCAGTGATTAAAAGTGATTAAAAACTACAGACAAAAATGAGACTGCAAGACCTGGTAGACACCAAAACTGCCCCCATCAGATAAACAGCACTTAAAGCTTTCATCTCTGAGAGAGAGGAGAAAATCAAGCAGCTTCAGATCTGAAAACATCCACAGGTGTTTCTGTCCATCCTTCCACTGTGAGAAGACGACTCAGCGCTATGGGTCTGAAAGGATGTGTAGCTGTGAAGAAGAACCTCACTGAGAAAAGGAGACGGACACATCAAACAAAGAAGCTGAACATTGGGCTGACCACCCTAGAGTCCAGACCTCAACACCACTGAATGTGTTTGATTACTTCAGAAAATGATCAACCAGCTTCTAAGACTGATCTTTGGAGGTGTGTCTGCAGATTCTTAGAGAAACTGAAAGTGAGGCTCCTGAAAAGAATGGAAGCTGGAATAAAGGTAAAGAGTGACACACTGAACACTGAAAACTGAATATTTAGTAGTTGAAACTTTTGTGTAATTTTCTGTTGTTTTTTAGTTTTTACCTGACTCTGAAAAATTAACAACTTGTGCTTAATGGACGTTTTGACTGGAAATTAAATAAATGAAAGGGTGGGTCTCTGATTTTTGCACAGTACTGTACACTCTCACAAATAAAGGTACTAAACTGTCATTGGGGCAGTACATCTCAGTACCTTTAGTCAGGGAACATAACTGTACCATAATCCACTGAGATGATATTTTCTAAGCTGTACTGACTCCACACACCCCGTCTCGTCTCCAGGCTTTTATTTTACTGTTCTGTTTTAAAACATTCGGTTATGAAAAGGTACAAATATGTACTTTTTACCTGGACAAACTTATTTAAGGTTCACAATCAAACCACTGCTGTACCTCTGAGGGAACATTTACATTGTTTGTACCTTGACGAACGAAAAATGTACCTGCACAGAACCTTTATTTCTAACAGTGTACTTTGCTAGAACTGGTACTTCCATAACTTGACAAAGCTACACTATTTAATCCCTTTGTAATATTTAGTTATAACACTATTTAACATAACCAAACTCTTAATTTGGACATATTCTGAGAAGAACCAATTCATTATAAAAGACCATTATGCTTCGAAGAGTTGAAGGTAAAAGAGATGATGACCGGCAACAAGATGAATGGACACAGTCAGAGGAATCCTGAACCAGCCATTCAGAAGCCTGAAGACCTGAACAGAAGACAGGATGTTCTGGAGAAACACTATCCATATGGTCACCAGAGGTCGGAAACGACTTGACAGCACTTAATAATAATAAAAATAACAACTCTATTGAGGAGCTCCACAGAGTCTCGTATAAATCCCTGTTTTTTCATTAATGAAAACTTGATGTAAAAAGTCATCAACACCCCTAACCAAGCCGAACTATGGGGGAACAAAGCTGAGGTGCACACACTGCTGACACAGGTGGTTAACTGTGCACACACAGCTTATATAATCTCCATAGAAAAGCACTGGCCAATAAAATGGGGTTCTCTGGAATAGCCTAAAGTCTAAAGTCACCATGCTCAATGCCAAGAGTGGGCTAGAGGGGTGTAAAGCCCCCCCCAGCATTGTGCTGTGGGGCAGTGAAACTGTGTTCTCTGGAGTGATGGAGCTCCAATACCTTTGGGATGAGTTGGAGTGATCCAGAACTGACCATCCAGTACCTGACCTCACTAATGCTTTTGTGGCTGCAATCAAATCCTCACAGCAATGTTCCAACATCTACTATAAAGCCTTCTCAGAAGAATAGAGGCTGTTATTGGAGCAAAGAGGGACAAACTCCCTACTAATACCTTCATTTAAGAGGAAATGCTGAATTAGCATGTTTCAATATCCAGTATGTGAGCTAAATATTTACTACAGTTTAAATCAGGTGGGATTTGATTGTAAGAGGTCCAAATGTGCAAGGACTTAAGTGGAATAGCATTTTATTACAGTCTCGAATAATAATCGGAATTGACCTATCTGTGCTGTACCCTCAAATGCATGCATTCTTAGCAGCTGTTGCCAGGTTGTGCATGTGGCAAAATTCCATTTAACCGAATGAGAGTTTGTGAGTTCAGACCAGGTCTTTAACATGGTGGTGGTAGTATGAGGGAAGAGGGAGGGGAAGAACTCTAAGAACTTGGGCTGGAGTTCTGGGCAGCTTCTGTCTGTAGCTAGAAGGCCAGATCCCCCCTCATAGCTGTAGTAGGACTGATGTAGGACTGAGGAACAGGGAACGGAGGCAAACTCTTCGTCACGGGAACGGGAAGTGAGGATGTGAATTTTTAGAGTTTTAGCTTGGAAGGGTTGGAGGGGTTTCAGCCATGTTCCTCCCTGCCCAGACTTCAGTTATAACTACATATTGAGAAAATGAGGTACTCAGTTTATGCCAAAAATACATAAATTATTTTAATTGGACTGGCACAATGTTTGTTAGCAGTACATAACATTGACTTTGAGGCTTAAAATGCTATACGTGACCAAGCAGGACTGTGTTGTTGGACTGTGTTGTTGGTTATCTTGGGTTCAACCAACTGCTTTGGAGGTTGTCAGTAAACAGTGTTCACTGCTGCAATAATGGATGTTGTGTTCTCTGTGTCCAGGACTATTCAGATTGTTACCAGCATAAAGTTCGAAAGCCAGCATCTGCCATGGTATGGGGGAGAAAGCACCATTAACACAGACATATATCTACACATTCTGAATCAGTATGTGCTGCCTTTTAGACAACGTCTTTTTCAGGGATGCTTATTTCAACATAACAGTGGTAAGAAACATTTTACACAACAGCATGGCTGCCTAGTCAGAGAGTGTGGGTGCTTGACTGCAAGTGTACCATTGAAAACGTGTGGCGATATTAAGATATGCAGAATGCAACAACGAAGGCCCCATATGGTCACACAGATAGAGATATGTATAACAGAAAAATGGCAAAAATTCCACTTTCAAAACTGTATCAGTTTATGTCTTCAGTCCTCAAACGATTATCAAGAGTTATGGTTATGTAAGGTGATGTAACTCAATGGTAAACATCCTCCTCTACCAACTTTTTTGGAATGTGTTGCAGGCATCATATTTGGAATGAGCATATATTACAAAAAAACAATAAAATGATAAACATTAATACGAGTCAAACAGAATTTACTAATTCCAGTGGTCTGTTTTATTAGCATTTCACATTCTGTCCTGATGTTTTGGGATCCATGAAATTGGATTTGTATCTAAACATGCTTACAGCCACTAATCATACAAAAATAAAGCATTTAAAATGCACTGAACTGTAGGAAAAAAAATGTGTTTTTGTATTATTATTCCTTACAAAATAAAAGCTAGGACACATCGA